CACCGGAAACTGAGACAATCTGGAACTTCTGAAAATCAAGTCTAGAGGCACTCAGAGTTGCCACCAGGCATAGACTGAAGGAAACTTTCTGATGGTTGCATCTAGTATTTGGAGCTTCACTGACCTGGAAAATAATACATGGGGCATATTCTCCATATTACTCAAGCAGGTTCTACATGATCATCTCCATTACCAAATGCAACAGTCCCAGCTGCAGTCAGTGTATTTTTTTACTCTAAATTTCTCTTCCAGAGCTATATTTCTCAAAAAATACAAGACTTGAAACTCTGCTTTTATGATCATAAAAGATTTTGTTCACACTATACTCTTTAGGAGGTGCCTTCACAGTCTAAGCCCATTTTAGGAACATGTCAGAGGAAAAAAGCTAAAATGAGTAGCCAAAGCTGCTGTTTGACCTTTAAATACATTTTTAAAGCTCTATCTCAGGGCTCCACAGCCCCCAGGGAGGTGCCAAATTTTCTCAGTGCCAAATGCAGAGTACATGCAGGTCAATTTTGACCCCAGCTCCTCCAAACAAGGTGCTAAGTCCACATGCTCAAGCCAAGTGCTGTTTACACAGAAAATTGGGGCAAACCTCTGCACGTCACCAAGCAGCTTTCCTGTACACTGAATGGAAATATTCAGGGTAAGCCTTTTCCTCTTGACTATGTTTCCTCCTACACCTTTGTCCTCTGAAGCAGTTTCTATAAGTAACCTAAGATACAAAAGTTTCCTTATCACAGTGTAAAAATACTAAAGCTCCGCTGCCTTATAATCTGCTCCTTTTGCTGGTAGTCCATCAGCTCTCCAGGAGGTGCTGTGAAGGGACACTACTCTTATTACTGGGTTGGACATTTGGAGGTCTCAGCTGACCACAGTCATGGTTGGTGAGGGGAATATAGTTTACAAAGCTGCTGAGGAAAGGTTCTGCAAAAAGGCTATGGTAGAGGAGGGTAACCAGTTGAGGACACGGTGGATTTAATCGGGAGGGCTTTCCTTCTGCCCAGGACAGGAGCTAAAAAGAGGCAAGAGTAACCTCATGTATTTGTTAGCAAGTCTTTGTCCTAGTGAGACTTCAGAAAAGCTGGTCAGCAAACATGGTAATGATTGATGACCAAATAATGTTGTTTTTTTTTAATCAAAAGAACATGTTCTGCAAAAAGAAAATATTTTAAAAGACCAAGTATTTCCCAAGGCTGTTCATTTATCACATTGGAATTCTAGAAAGCCACAAAAAAGGGTTGGAGAGGTCCACATGATGCCCATGTGTGATCTGTGTCATTCCTGATAGACTTTTAGCCAACCTGTTCATAGTTGTTTCTAAAGCTGGAAAATTTAGTTTGAGGTTAGAAGAAAGAGATCTTTTATAGTGAAGAAGAAAGTGCAGCAACAAAGGCTGAGGACGTATAGAATCACCCTGGCTGGTGATTTGTAAATCACCAGATATAAGCCATGTTTCTCGTGGCCACATGGATGCCTGTTGAGGAGACACTGCTTGGGATGCTTGGGCAGAGTGTCTTGATGTAATTTTTTTGTTCAGATATGATTGATTTAAGGGTTGTAGGTCCTTTTTTTAGGTTACTTAACTTGTTAAGGTTGAGTTCTCCAGACACTTCAATGCGAATTAACTTCTGTTGTTGTTTTAGGCTAATTTTTTTCAAGATAGCATCTCTGCAGACCTCCAGGTCTTTGCTCCAAAGAAGCTGTAACATAAAGGTTTATGTAACAAACTGTACAAGCAGCAGTTTGCATTATACCTGTTCGCTGTCATAGTACCTCATCACCCACTGGGCACCCTGCTCAGGCCCCACCACTATGTTATGGTCTATAAAGTACATACATTTGTAGCAAGCAGTGAATTTGGTCACTCAGTCAAAGGGCTTGTTTTTACAGATGAGCTCGAACAGCAAAACTGAGTGAAGTCAGTCCTCCTTACCACATGGACAGTCCAGCTTGGATGCAGCCATGGTTCTGTCATAGGAAGTGAAATCTTGCAGCACCGTGTAGTGCTAGCAACAGAGAAACAAGGCAAATGTCTGGGCAGTAGTCATTCCCTTCAGGTTAAATTAAATTTATGTTGGTTTAATTTAAGACAGTTGGGGACAGTTTTCAAAGCTAGAATAATAAAAGCCACTCCTAAAGTGAAATAATGGATGGCAATAATATTGACATGTGGCAATAATAATAGAGATGTAGTGCCCACTAAAGGTTTTCTCTTAATGAAATTGAACCAAACCAAGTTTCTGTGTGGACTATAACCTAGAGACCAATGGCATCTTTAAGAAGAGGGATCACTGTCCTCAAACTCTGCTGGTACAGAGCAAGAATTCCATGGCCCAAATGATTTTTTTTTATTTTGTGCTGTAACGCAAGGAAAGTTGAGGCAGGTTGAAAGACACAAAGCACATACTTTATTCATGGGGTTTGTAGCTGATGGCATACATCAAGTTCAAGGTTAAAAGGAAAACTGTAGCAAACCAAGATGAGATGAAGTCAGGAGTCCTCAGATGACCATCCTCTCCTGGGTGTCTGCTCCAGTGCATCAGGGGATCACAGTCGTACCGACAACCACTCCCTAGTAAAATTACACCCTTCATTAAAGCCTGCTCAAGTTGCCTTTCCGTGACCTTTGTCTGATGACAACACTGGCACTGACTGGATTATGCTTAATTAAGTACAAACGTTGCACGTTAATTGGCTGATAAGCCTTGTACCCGTCTGTAATTAGGTATTGCTTATCCTACATTAAAATTACTGTTATTTACTCATTATATGTAATATTTGTTCTAATATGAAGTCACTGGTATGAAGGCACCAAGTGGAGACTGTGTGGGAACTTTAGTGCAGACTATGAATTATATATAACTCAGGAGCAATGCAATGAGATAGAGGACAAGAGGACAAGAGGACAAGAGGATGGCTGGGGTATAGGAAGCAAACCCTTTTCCAGGGAATACAAAGTAACAAATGCACCAGTGCAAGGATGTGAGGAAGAGAGTACTGAGAAAAAAACAGGTGCAAGGGGCTGCCAGAGCAGCCCTGGAGTAATTTTAAGTGAAAGGCTACAAGTCAAAAAAGGTCCCTAAAAATTGGAAAACCTTTAGCAATGGGCCAGTACAAGTAGTTAAGAACTGTGCAATATTTGGATAACACAATCCCCTCTAAGCCTCATAAAAAAAGACATATAAATAGGCAATGGCATTTTAAGCATATCCTGCAGTAGGTACACACATAGTTTTAAACTATCCCATGCATTTGGCACACAGCAATTGATGGGAATATCTGAGCTTTCATTTCCAAGTCTCATCGTGCATACGATTTACCACAGCCAGGGAAGATTAAAGAGTAAGGAATGCCCAAATCTAGAAAGAACAAAGTAGAGCTAAAGAGCTGAATGTCAGTAATTGCAACAGGTGCAAAAATACAATTAGTGACATTATAATTACTGAAATTAAATATCAATTTATATGAGTATGCACCATAATACTTTTGACAGCCTCTAGCATTATGTGATAGCAAATAAAAGCAGAATGGCAGCTCCTAATTTGTAAAGAAGTAGAATCATAGAATCATTAAAGCTCACTTAAAGAATTTTATTCCATAAGGTACAAGGACAAGAAAGGTTTTAGTGCAAAGAGGATAAGTGCTAATAAATGCCCAGTAAAACCATGCATACATCTGCAGCTATTAAGACACACAGCAGCTTTTCTAACATACAAACGTAGTACATGAAGTAACAAAACCTGCAGCAGCACCATGGAAAACTTTGGTCTGAAGGACATAGCGGTAAGAAGACCATTCCCTTTGGGATAGGACCCACCTTGTTTTAGATACTGCAGGCACATGAGTTGCATGCTAGTTGTGTCTGTGGCTTCCTCTAGTCCACAGAGGGAAACAGGTACCACTGGGGACAATCTTTACCATACAGATATCCATTTAGCATGCCTGGTGGTGAGATGAGTCCATGTGATTTCTCTCCCTTACCAGTTTTCACAAGAGAGCTTATCATCTCCTGGAGAATATTTTCCAGCATGTGTCTCCAAGGTTGGCCCTTTAAATGTATGAGAACTCTGCAGCCACAAGGCAGTTATTTTTTTCCCTTCAAAACAGTTTCACTTTCCCACCTCCCCTCTTTCCTCCCAGTGTTTAGGTCCTTTTTGCTAGCAGGATGGCATTTTTTTCCCCTGTTGCTAGGCTGGTAGCCTAGTTTCCCAAGCAAGGGAGGCTTATGAGATCACACTGTCTTGTGCAAGTGCCAGTCGGTCCCTCCTAAATAATTTTTTGAGCCTGTGAGCTGAGTTTGATCAAACTTGACAGGGGATAGAAGTCTCAAAGGTTTCAGCAGCCTACATGTGCTGTGGAAGTAGGCAGGCAGAGGAGAAAAAATGCTGGAAGTGCATCCGCTGCAGAAACAAAACTGTATTATTAGACACCGGAGAGTCCACATCAGAGACAGTCATTACCACTGAACTCCACAGGAGATACAATTTCACAGATTCAGTAGCTCATAAGATGACTTGATTAATATGAGCATGAGCAAAATGTTCTTCTCCCCATCTTCTAGAGCAAAAGTCTTCCAGCTACAGAGCAGCAGGGGTAGAGCTCAGAAACAACAAGCCAGCAGAGTGAGTTTAGAGCTAATTGCTGCTCCTTCTCATGCCAGTGCTCATGCAGAACTCTACTCAACTTCCCCGTGACTTCAGTGCCCCCATTTGCATGATCCAGTTCACACGAAGGATGAGATCGGGAACTACAGAGCATGGACTAAAGAGGGAGGAGCAAGTCCTAACTTGCCATGAGCTGGCACAGCTCCACTGTGGCGGGTGAATCTGCGTTACAATAGGCCATCACTTCCAAGCGCAGCTCCGTGATGAAGCGTCCAGCTTGTTCTTCCTTGTGTTTGTCTGTATTACAGTTGCTAACGGCGATCCATTTAACACAAGCACGAGCTGGAACATAAACTAAAGACCAGTAAAAGCTGTATCTGGTGCGTAGGCTGGCTCTCGCTTGTTCCTGCTGTGGCTTTTCCTAGAAGTCAAACACCTCAGGGCTGCCTGACTGGTGAGCCTGAACAAAACCCTTGCAGTTCCTTGTTAACACTTGCTAGGGAGAAAAACAAGCTATTCACACAGGTGGGATTCAAAGAGAAACTGAAATCAGTCATCTGATAGAAAAAAAAAAAAAAAAACCACAACAAAACAAACTAGCTACCGTGGACATTAAAATGGAGACTGGGAGTTCTGTGGAGCTGTGTGACTTCATGTGTTCAGTGAAATATTGGTGTTTTCTTCTTCTCCTAAGCCTTCTAAGCATTGATGTGCCAGATATCTGATTTAGTTGGAGAGAGTGCAAATCACCAACACCTAAAGAAAAGAGAGGGAAAGTAATTAAATGGACCTTTGATGCACAGCAAAACAGGGAGCTTGCAAGCAGTGAGAGACATAGCTGAAAATGGACTGGAATCTCTTCCAGAAGGACAGGTATTGCAACTTGTCCTCGACAGCTTAGCCAAGGGCACAGCCTGAAATTCACAGCCAGAAATGCCTGCAGAGCAGCATCTGCATTAGTGTGGTATGCTACAATATCCTTTAAGATGAGGCTTCTTCAGAGGGAGATGTGAACCACAACTCTTGGGCACCCAGGGCTGAATGTTTTCTGTTATATAGCAGATCTATGAAGCCACAGGGGAGATTTCTTTACCTATTATTTGTTGTCGTCACTTCAATCCAGGCATTTTTCTTCTGATGAAAGCTAAAACATAAAATGATTGTTCTAATTAATAATGCCCACCTCCTCATGTAGCATTTTTCACTCACCAAATGTCTCAAAGTGCTACTCCCATTTAATAGACACTAGAAGTAAAGGTGAAAGAGATCAAATGAAATGTCTTGGCAACAGAATAAAACCAAGTCTTGCATCACAGGTCTAGTAAAAGGGACAAGGGCACCTATTAAGCCTCAATGAAAAGCAAAGCTTAGGACAATTTTCTGACATACTGGATCTTTCAATGAGGCGTTGTGAAACTAATGTGACCAATGTTCCATGCCAACAAAATATGTTCTGGATTTTTTATCTGACAACATAATTTAAGGATTTCTTAGAATATGGGAAACAAAACAAGGCAGTGGCTTTACAGGAATTGTTCCTTTGCAAAAGGCAGCTTGTGCCAGGGGACTGGAAAATTGAAAGTGCCCCAAGGGAGCAAAGGAATGGAAAAAACCTCCTACACTATCCAGTCAAAACACAATGCATTAAAAGAAGCATAAATACCAAACTGGTAATTTACTTCAAAACTTCTTGTACTTATGATACTACTAATAGAAATTCTGACAAAGAGAGATGCTATACTAGACACATGGTTTGCCTCTTGAAGAGGTGCATTTGGCACGATTAGACCATGTACTTAAAGGAAACTTACTGACAGTGTCTGCAGCAAAATAGATGGTTTAAGGTGATATAAATCTGATTAAAACAACTCCTATCAATATACGTGATTACTTCTTTCTTATGCCTTCTTTTGTCTCTTTTCTTTTTTTTTTTTTTCCTAGTGTGGTTGACTGAGGTTTGGTTTTTTTTCTTCCCTCCATTAATTTGAATATCCAATAGTTTCCAAAGTGTTAAAAAAATTGGTGGTATTCCAGTGATATTAAAGGATGCATTGCCCATCCACTCTTGAGGCTGCTTCACAGCAAAAAAAGTGTCTGCAGATTTGATATTTGATGCTTCAGAGATTTAGTAAGTTTTTCACAGTCCTTAATAAATTGATATCACAGGCAAGAAACCTGAAGGTGCAAAGCATGATACACACACAAGCACTTTGTATTTTGGTGGCATGAACCTGGAGTTCATATTTGAATAACATTCCTGTTTGAGGTAAAACTGAGCATACAAGATCCTTACCTAGGCAGAATGCATATTGACTTCAGGTGATACTTTTTCCCAAAGAATGGCTGTGTAAAGGTCAGGATGAGTTGTTTGCCCCTGCAGTAATGCTGTGTTTTTTTGCTGAAGAGACTTCCAGCACCTGGGGACAGGGATTTATTGCTGTTGGTGAATACCAGCACTCAGATGATGGTCAGTCTCACCTTGACCTTCGGGAGGCTGTTTCCGTCTTTCTTTTATATCAGCTTTGGAGATAAGCAAACAAACAAACAAAATAAAACAAACAATAAAGCCTAAAAAGCTAGGGCACAGGCCACAGGCTGGGTTTCTGATAATTCGATCCACTTAAACCTATTTCTTCAGTACCTCCTGAAAGGCAAAGCTCTTTGCTAGCAGAGTCTGTCCATCTGTTAGCAAACCACAGTTTAGGAGTATGGGGCTCTGAGCAAAATCTTTTAATACAGACCCACCACGGTAATTCGAGGGGAAAGGAACAGCCAATAACTCACCAATAACAATGCTGTTGTCACTCTCCCACATCACCTCCAGCTTTTCTTCTCACTGGTGGAACTGGGCAGCAGAAGATCCTTAGCCCAAAGTAAATGAAAGCCCCTTGCCGTATCACCATTGCAATGAGCCTTGGGTTGAAACTGTCCCTCAAGAGAGACAGTAGCCAGCTGGAGGCACATTTGCCAACAGCATCATTGATCATCAGCTGCCTGTAGCCTAAAGGAGCCCTTTCAGACAGCTAAAATCGTATCTGATTTTGTAACAGACTCCTCTGCAGTCCCCATCACTTTGCCTGCCCCCAACCCTGCTAAAAAAAAAAAAAAAGCCACAAAAACCCCCAATAAACCAAAAAAAAACCCCACCCAAACCCACTTGTGATGAAAAAAGAAGTGGCTCAGAAAAATAACCTGATTTGCCACCTCCTCTTGCAAGTCCTGCTACCCAACTCCTGCACTAGCCTCACTCTACAGCACCCTGTAAGCAGGATCTGCAGCTAAGGTGAAAGAGAGGGAAAAGTGGGAGGAGGGAGAGGGAAAGGCACAGAAGCTGCATACCTAGAAAGCCAGGGTTATTCTTGCTGCCCACCCTGGAGGCACTACCTCTGCATCAGGCAGGAGTAACAGAGGGAGAATCTGGCTTTCTGGATTTAACAAGCTCACTTTCCTTTAATTGGGGCCCTCAGGCACTGCTGTAGTAGACCTAATGGCACTAATCATTAATGAATCAGCCCTGATGAATAGGAAGGCTGAACTGGTGTCTCTCTCCTTAGGTTGTCAGCCCCTCACAGAATCTACTGGGTTTCACTGGGCAGGACAGCAACTGCACAGATTTTAAAAGGGCCCTGAAGAGGAAGTGGGCTTGAAGAGTCACCAATCTATTCATCCTTAGACTGTGCAAATGAGCCAGGAACCAACAGTATCTGGCTGCTGCTTCCAAAACATAGATATAGCCACCAGAAAGTCCTGTGAAGTGAGTACTGCAGCTTACTTTTATACTATACTTCCCTGCTCCCTCTGTAAGCACCAATCACTCTGCCTTCACTACCATTCATATCTAGGTTTTCCTCAGTTTTGTGTGTTTGTACTCAAGCTTTTTCTCCCAGCACAGGCCCGCTCCACCATCTCCCTGTTACAGCCTTTGAACAGATGGGAAAGGACCTTTTTATTTTTTTTTTTTTCTCCCTTTAAAGCAAAAAGAATCGACTGCCACCACCTCAGCCCAGTGCTGGCAGAGTCTTGCCGTAGCGGAGGGCAGCCCAGGGAAGGGCAAGGTTCAGCCCTGCCTTCAGGGCTCAGCCAGGCTGGTAAAAGGGGGAGGCAGGAGGAGAGCAGCCGCCCGCCAAGCACGGGTGCATCCAGCGCTGCCGGGGAAGGAGCCAGCTCCCCGCGGCCCTCCGGGGACTGCGGGGCTGCGGTTGCTCAGTCGGAGCCGGGGAACAGGAATTAGGGCAGGCAGAGCCGCAATGGCTGCAAGCCTTCCGATTATCCAGCCAGCTAGAAATGCTCTGTCTTGTTTTTTGTTCTGGCTGTGATTTTTTTCCCTGTTGATCTCAATTTATGCCTTTTGTGTGTGTGTGTGTGTGTGATTTTTTTTTTTTTTAAGCAGGGGATAATTTTACTGTGGTCTCTGTCAACATTTAAATGCTTTTCTATTGCATTTTTTCCCCTCTCCAGTTCACCAGCTCACGTTTGCCCAGGAGTTAAGAAGGGATGTTCAGAAGTTTGAACCTCTTCCAGCTCTTGCTACAGCAGCTGCTGCCTGGGGCAGTGGGACCAGCCTGGCAAGCGACACCCCAGCCTTCCCCCGCAGCCCTTACAAACCCTACAGGTGCAAGGCGGCAGGAGGCAAATCCAGTACACTCAGTCCCTTTCTAGGACTTGGCGGACGGCTCATGTTTCCTTGGCCACAACAAGGCCACAACAAGGCAAGGCAGAGCAACCGCTCCTGGGGTCAGAAAAAAAAATAATAAAAAAAAAATATAAAATCGAAGCTTTGCTTGCAGGCTTCAGAAATAACCCTGAAAGGGGCAGAAAAGGGAACAACCAATGCCTCGCGCACTGAGGGGCTCTATAGAATGAATGGGGGGAAGGTGAGGGGTAGTTTGTTGATTGCTTATGTTCCCCGAAAAAAAACACGGAGCTGCCGGCGGAGAGTGCCTCGCTTGCCGGTTGCCCAGGAGGAGCGGAGCTGGCGGGACCAGGGTTTCTACGCTCTCTGCCGTCTGTGCGGGAAATCCCGGTGTGCTGCTAGGTTAGCATGGGAGGCCCGGTGGCCGGTCTGCGCCCCGGGAATGAGCAGCCGACAATTAGAAGCCCCAGACAGGAGAGTCCAGGGGGAGGCAGGAGGGGAGGGAAGGGGCCCGGGCAAGACCACAGGGCTTCTTCTCAATCCCCTGGGCTACTTTTCCCCGGTTTGCCACCGTTTATTATCCTCCTCGATGGAGGGCTAATTGGGGGATGTGCTAATTACGGAGAGATTATCCATTAGTAACAGAACCTCACGCGAAGATAACTCGAGTCCTCTAACGAGCTGGAAATCGCCCCCTTATTACGCCCCCTCAGCTTTCTTGTGAGGGGTGAGATGGAAAGCTGGGAGGTTCCCTTCCACCTTTCCCCGACGGACGGGCACTGTCCAGCAGCCGGGAAGGCGGGGGCGGTGGGAATGCCGGCAGCGGGAGGGACCTGCGCCAGGGAACCCCGGGACGGAGAGAGGCTGCCGCCGGCGGGGGTCCCCGGGGCCCAAGCCGGCGTAGACAGCAGGCTGCGGAGCCCCCCGTACCCCAGCAAGGGCTCTCTCTTCCGTCTCTCCTCAGCATCTGGCATTTCGTGCTACAGGGAAACCATAACAGCAGCGCCTGACCTCATGAATACAGAGATGTGCACAGAAAAATCAATTTAGGTCTAGATCCTCTGTGGGGAGGGAAAATAACCCAAACCACTTAAACAAAGCTCTGCTCTCCAGGGTTTTCCTTTTGCTTTGGTGGTGGTGGGGTCTGAGTCTAGAGGGAGGCCAAAGGAAAACGAAATTCAAGCAGACCTGTGTCTGCCGAAGCGAGGCTGAGCTCTGCAAAGCCCCCCTAACACGCGCATAATGTATTTTATCATTAAAAAATCAACATTGCTTCCAGTGGTAAAGGCGCCTGGCTCCAGTTCTTGAGCACATTCGTTGCTGGGATTCAATCCGTTTGGGAAATGCAGATTGGCTTGCGACCCACTGTTTGATTTATGAACTGTTACATTTGCTATTGCTTACACATTACATTGCGGACCTTGGGAAGGGAGGGGAGCAGGGAGAGGGGGCGAAGGAGAGACCCTGCCACCCTACACATCGGCAAAGAGAGCTACTGCACAGGCAACGGCTCCCCACTCGAATAAATCACCTCGCACCAATTCGTGGCCCCTACCTCCCCATCACCCCACTCACCCACCCACCCACCCCCGGTCGCCAGCTGGGCTCTTGCTTTATAAGTAAAAGGGACGTGTTTACTCTTTGATGTGTATTTCTTTATAAAGGCATCAGGCGCCTATAAATAGCCGAGGTTAGAGCAGCTTCTGCTGCGAAATCAATACCCCGTCCCCCCCTTCCCCTTGCTCCTTCGGCTGAGCTGCCTTATTAATTATGAAAAGACTCCTCTGCGCCCCGGCTCCGGCTCCGCAGCCTCCTCTTTAATGGTGGTTGCTGCCTTCCCTCCGTCGGGGCTCCGCACGGCTCCGCGCCCGCGGGAGAGCCGCGCCGCCCGCCCCCTCCTCTGCGGGGGGCTCCCTTCGCCAGTCCCGGGCGGCTGGGAAACGGGGGTGCTGCGCTTCGCAGCTTCGAGAGGAGGAGGAGGAGGAGGAGGAGAGTGGGAGGAATTATAGCGTATTTTTAACAAATTAATGAAGGGGGGGGGGGGGAAGAAAGGAAGGAAAAAAAAAAAGGCAGAAAGGCTCCGACTAAGCGACTCAGCCACCCTGTCCTTGTTTGAACTGAAATTGCCATGTTCGTCAAGGGGTGGGTTCAGGATTGAGACTTCCTTGCCTTAAAAGCCCTGTCCTTTCCAAGATATTCTAGGCATATTTTATAAAAAGGACGACACCCTCATTTCAAACAATAATTTTTATTTTATACTTCTGTCTATACTTTGTAGCAAATCTTTTTTTGTTATTTTTTTTGCTGAATTGACTTTATAATAAACTTTTGTTTAAATTACATTTTTCATCTCTTTTAAAATCAAGGCTCTTTTTTTTTTTTTTCAAAATCATTTTGCTGCTGTTGTTGGTTCGTTTTTTTTTTCCTTTAGGTTTACATTTAAGCCCCCTTTTTGTGATCTCTACGGTTGGATATTCAGGTATTTTACTGGTATGTGTAACATCTAAAACAAAGAGGAGGAAAAAATTAAAGGCAGTGAATTCGGAAAGATGCCTTCGAACAGCAAGTAAAGGTAAACTCTCAGAGATGTTAGCAGCATTCCTTCACTCCTCCGGGCATTTAGACACGTCTGTCTTTCTCTTGCTCCTTCCTTCCTTTCTTAACTGTTCGTTTCCCTCTCTTTCTCTCCCTCTCTCGCTTTCTTTTCCCCTTGAGGAAAAATGTTTTTATTTATTTTTTAAAATTTTTTGCAGTGGAATGACCAAAAAAAACAAGCGACTGTGGAGGAAAGATGAGAGATTGTGAATTATTCACCATATGCTTCACACGTGGACATCTACCTTGGATTTCTCGCCAGTGCCTTTTTCTGTCTGCGGTTTTGGTTCTCGCCTCGCACACTGCCACATTTTTAGCGGAGCCCGTGGCTCGCCGGGAGGTACCCGGCCGGTTACAGCCTTAGCAGTAGGTGGCCCAGAGCCGTTCCTGAGATTGCTTTTGCACAACGAGGGCTCGAGTTTATTTCTTTATATTTTTTTTCTATTTTTGATTCGAAGCGTTAGTAAAGCTGAGGTCCGATTTGGGCTGCGTGCCGCTGCCTGTTTGGTAACATTTGGCAAATAAAACACAAAAAAATAAAGGGAGAACGCTTCCACAGTCCTACATGGGTGTTTCACCATCATCAGCCACCACCACCACCATCATCATCATCATCAACCACAGAAAAGCACAACGTCCCCAAAGCAACGGATGGACACTTCCTCTATAGATCCAGCACATGGAGAGGGTGTGGGTGTGAGTGTGCTCGCCCCCCTAGAAAGGCAGCCAGGTCACTAGGGCGGCCCACAGAGCCGCCAGGAGCAGGGGCAAGGCCGGCGAGAGGAGGGACGGTGCCGCGCCGCTGCCGCCTCCGCACAGTTCAAATAAGCTGCCTTGGAAATCGAGGTTTTTGGATTCCCGTCTCAGTTTCTCCCAGAGGTCTGTCGCTCCTTCCTGGCAGTCGGTGAGCGCTGTGAGGGTGCAGGCGTGGAAATCATCCCAGTACCTGCAGGAGGGGAGAGCAGCCGGCATCAGAACAGGCACGCGCCCACCTTTCCAGGGAGCGGGCCGCCCCCTCGGGCCGCCGCCCCCACCTCCCGACGGCGCAGCCTTGAAGGGAGGCTGGCGCCAGGCGGGGAGGAGCCGCTGGCTGTGGTTTCGGGTGTCCCCTCTTCCCAACCCCGCCTTCGGCACCAGCCCAGGCTGGCTGGTGCAGGAATTGGTTTGCTGGGTCCCTGGCGGAGGGGTCTTTGACTGAAGCGGGGAGAGGACATGGACCCCTCAGCTGGCAGAAGCCAGTTTAGGAGCCCACCGGCTAGTCCCAAGGGTTTTTCGTCACCGGTGGGAGCGTGCAGGACGGGGTGGGAAAGGCACCGCTTTTCCCAGGCAGGAGGTGGTATCCTGGAGGGTCCCGGTGTGGCGCTAGAAACCCTCTGGAGGGATCCTCCTGGGCGGGAGCGAGCCCTTACTGCAGGGGCAGGAAGGGAGGAGAATGAGAAGAAAAAATAGGAGAAGGAGGAAGGAGCATCTTCCCCTCTCCGTCCCTCCTAGGCGCCTCGTACCGACCCGCAGCGAGGCGGTGGGAGGGACCCCTTATCCATGGCATGGGGTCTCTAGGCAGAGAAGGGATTCTCTTCCCCTAAGGATATTCTCCAGCAATTACCTCACGTTTTCCCTTTTCCTTTCAATTCCCTTCTTCACGGGGACTGGACCGGGGTTTGTCGCCAGGGCAGAACCCGTCCCATGGCCCCACCTGAGGAGGGGGCGGGAGGAG